TAGGTTTTAAAGTTGTATTATGTTTTAATTTTTGTTGAAAATTGATCATTTCCTCTTTTCAGAAATATGTTTTACTATACAGCATACATTATAAGGCCTGACACCAGTTGGTTTGAGTTTTCAACAACTTAGGGAGTCTCAATTCAACATTGTAAATAAACTACTAGTATGAACTTTTGTACTGCTGGCAGGTTCTACTGTTATCACAATAATTTTTCGCTAAGTTTCGCTGTGTTATAACATTTCTTTTCATTAGTTTACGCTTTTAATGTGCAGCCAGACTCCACAGGCCAATGTTGGTAAGTTACTCACTGTTGCATCATGGGATTTAAGTTGTTTTCCTAACTTAAATAACTTGACCATTTTTCAGGCAAAACCCATAGATGTTGTCTTGGATTTTGTTTTTGGATTTGGTTAAGGGGGTCAAATTAACCTATTTACAAAGGGCTTTCAACTAAATATAAAACATAATATATACAACTTTAAATTAATGTTTTTATGACATTAAATCCAAAGCAGTAAACCTGTGTATTAAAGTTTTACCAATAGTCATTAGACCTTGCAAATTATGAGCAATAAAAAAATGTTATTTTTGCATTTACACTGAGTGCCATATTGCTTCATACATATGATTTGTGAATCAGTCCGCAAATTACCTGGCCATTCAGTTGAACGTACTTCTACATTGCAATTACTAGACATATCACAATAAAAAAAAAAATCAACACCAATGACAAAAGTCATTCAACTAAAAAGTGCACAAAGCAATGTGGGACACAAACATTCCTCTAAGGTGACGTCATCATATTATGACATCACTCTAGTTGTGCAGACCCCCCCCCCCAAAAAAAAATCATTGACTCCTTCCAACTGCACTGCTCTTTGCAACATACCATCCCAATTTACCAATTTCTGTTTTATAATTAGAAGACCCACTAGTAGGCCACTTGCAAGTCACACTGCTTTTTTTCCGAGGGGTTCTGTTTTTGTGTGTATCCGAGGGGTATAATTTTTTCACATACCCATCCGTATACGTCAAATCAGTAGTTTCCAGGGGGTGTGTTAGTTAACAAAAATCCGACACCTGAATGGTGGATTTGAATCCATAGAGTGTCATAACCTTAATATCCATCCGTAGGGGGGTTGTGGATAAAAACTGGAATGACCCATATGCACAGTCCCTCTATCGTATATATTCCTATCGTAGAGGGATGTTAATAATATGCAATGGGGTGTAAACCACGACCCTTATAAATGTTGTCATTGCAGATCAACGGTGCACTAGTGCTAAGTTATTGATGGCTCTAGGTGCATAGATAATACCGGTAAAGACAATTTGAATATGGAATGAACTATTTCCGTAACGTACATTTTGCTAAGTCACTGGCAAAACATGTTAGAACTGTGCATGTATGTGTTCTGCTGTTCTGTTGTTGTTTTTTTCTCTGGTTGGCCTACGTTAATTAAGCACAGTTCATTCAAACACAGTGACCAATGTTTAAGATCGACACTACTGGTAGTACTTTATCATCAACAATCTTTGACCAATCACTTTCATATAATTCTATACCTGGCTTTTATTTTTTATTAGCAGATATTCAAAAAACTTGTCATTATTATCATAATCCTAATCGTACCAAATTCTAAAAAAACAAGAATGGTACAAATAGGGTTATATATATTATTGTAAATATTTGTTGTGTGAGCCTCCCCTATATGGACATGACAGTTCTGACAACAGAACCAATTTAAATCTAATTTTCACGCAGTGTGACTAGAATATCAAATTATTCATCATCAATTCTTCCAGGTATGTGAAAAATAGATCTTTTTTTATCTCTTTCAGCTACTTGCACATATTAATGATGGGATGGTCCTTTGTTGCTGGACTGTTGATGTCTTACCTTATTATTAGCAATAACCCATTATTGCCTAATCTATTACCCATGTTTAGAAGAGAACAAAAAGTAAGCATTAAAATGCCACAGACACGCTGAGAACATTTAATTTACACAATCAATGCTTTTCAAAAATGTTATAAACATTGCATGGGATTCATATAAAAAAAATAAAAAGCAATAACCGTGTTATATATTAGTACAAAACTGAACACTAAGTAGACCATGAAAGTTGTATCTATATATAGGTTTAATACTGAGATATGTGTATTAAGGTAGAGATGCAGGTTCGTGGGCACTTTTCGTGAATTTTTTTTTTTTTTGCTTTTTCTTACCCAGACAGTCTTGGCTAGATAGTGTTAAAATTTCGGAGCATTGTCATTGCTGGAACATACTCAAAAATCAATTTTAAAATATAGGGAACCGAGGCACGCGTATGTGATTAAAAGTCCCGAAAGTTTGTTTACGTTGCTCTTTGATTGACAAGTCACTGTTGATGTTATATGCAAATAATTGCTGGCCTCAGTTACGGAGCAGCCGGTGTGCGACTTCCTGTCCTGGCTCTCTGTTTACTTATCTCAAGCGCGATCAACTAGCAAACTACGAAAACAGACAAGACGTAGACAATTCCAGCGAGCAAGCGGAATGAAACAAAACATACACTTGTAATTGATAAGTAAACTTTTTCACCCTTAAATAAATTGATTTTTCATTTATTTTTATGTAGGAGGTAGCGTCGATAGGGCGATTTAATTTTCGTGCAAAACAAGGCCACAATTTCTTTTGTTTTCTTGGTGCATAGATTTCAAGCTTTTTCGCATTGTGGGCGAAACTAAAAAATGTTTCCACAAATTTTTACTCCAACGGCATTTTAACATTTTAAACATTTTTTGTTTCGCTGTAATGATTATCGTGCTGACAAACAGCACAGTTGTTGCTGTCATCGCTAACTTTTCAGTGTTAAAATACACAAACATAAAATGCTTGGTTAATTAAAAATAAAAAAAAATACCCTGGAAATTACCGAAAAATCGGCAATGAGATGCTGTTTTTAAACACCGCGGGAAAAATGCACTCTGCGATGCCATCTTGGTTACCTTAATCGGGAACCCCTTTGTCAGCTAGCATGCACCGGTAGCGTTGTCGCAAACTACGTTGTATGGTCGTGATCGGCGACCTCTGGGAACTCTATGAATGAGGTATTTCCAGGTTGATTTACATTAGTTCTCTTTCCAATGTGATTTTATTTTGAATTTATTTCACCGGCGTTTGCGTGATTGAGTAGTAAAAACTGCGAATAGCCGTTGTGTAGTAAAATATTAGGGCCCATTTCAACCTGGTCGTTTAACTTCGCACGGTCCACGGAAACTGCGTCATACAAAGTATTTTTTAAAGGTTTGAGGAAAGGTAAATTTAGACTCAACCCACGCAATGGCGATCGCTATGTTTATATAACTGTATGAATATGTCATCGGCTTTACGTAATCCATTGTGTCCCTCCCTCAGTGGAATTGATAACACAACGCCATGACAGTTTTCACGCACGGTTGAGACTTCGCGGACGATTTTTCGTCCGTTTCCCTCGAATTGTAAATATTTTTATTTTATTTTTTTACCTGACGATTTAGCATCGGCAAATTACGATGTATAGTGTATTTCTAGGAGTTTTTGTTACACATATGAAGCGAATGATTCGTTTTAAAACTTTTTTTTACAAAATGGCGATTATCTCAGTTTCATTTTTTACTCAAAATTTCAACTTCTAGACGGTTAGTTTGTTTTCAATGAAATTTTCAGGGGTCATTATTCAGGTCTATCCTAAGTAAATGGCTTCGTATGGTTTCACTGTCTTCACTGGAACAGAAATCAATAGAGATGCCAATTAGCGGCTCTGTTAACTGTGAACGATTCATAAAATGTGAATGTTTCAAAGAGCACTGCGTAAAAACTTTTTAATGGAAACACTAATAAATAAGCCATTATGTTCCTAGTAAACAGAAGTTTTAAATAAGTGTTCTTAAATTAAAATCAGGGTATGCATTCAAAAGTTTTAGTGCACTTTCACCTAAAATGCATGATTTTAACCCAAAATCAACACCACTTAATTTGATATCATTGTACATTATTGTAAACCATAAAACTCAAAAGTTTAAATAAAACTCTTTCAAATGATATATAACTTGATTGGTAAAAAGTATATTTTACTCATGTAATTACAGTAATTAGAGGCAATTAGAAATATAGTCTCCCAACCTGCATCTCTACCTTAAAGATGTCTTGTATGTAAAGTAAAAATAAACTGGTAAGTTGGAATTGTATAACTTACTACAGTTGAAAAATTCTGAAATTCTACAATGTGAATTTCACTGCAAAGGACATGTCTGTTCAAAAACATGAAATCAGTATCTCAATCACATTTTTTTCAATTTGGCTGAAACCACCAGATTTTTTAGCTTCACAGAAATGTTGCATCTTTTAAAGGGGAACCTTCCAAGCCCAGGGATTGCACCAAAGAATCATGGGACACTATTGTTTATTTTGTTTACAATGTTTATTTACAATCTATCTTTTGTTATCCATTGTAATTTTACTAATTCATCTTTGGGTTTTTAGTAAATTTTGGAAAAAGTTCGCAATTTACTTTGGGTGTTTTTATCTGTGACAAGAAATACAACAGAAATAAATGCCTGGTAGATAATTAAATGAACGGTTGTCGTTGCATCTCATCCTGTTTGATATGGGACACATAGCAACATACAGAATGCATGAAAAATGCATTATTTACATAAAATTAGAATACATTTTGTGCGACAGCCACTGTCCTGTAATCGCTTTAGTTTCGTAAGATTTTTTTTTCCAAATTTGAAAGAAAATCTCAAAGTATTGAGCTGTGAGCGCTTACCTGAACTAAGCTATTGAGTGTGTACAGTAACTAGGAATAACACTGTATATGCCATGTCTACATTATTATACTACCGGTACTTGTGTGTTGTTGCAGGTCACATCAGATGTGAGTGATACACCAGTACAAACCATTAAGGTCTGCTCTATATGTGGAGATGAAAAGTGTACCAGGCACAGGTAATTCAACATCGCTACCTCATACATAGGGTCATTTGATTCAGACAAACAAATCTTTATAAAATGGGTCACAGCACATAATGGTGAAAAGATTTTCATTTGTTCACAAGCGTCTCAAAGAGTGTTTACTGGTCTTCTCCCTGTCCTACGATTATAGTGTAGGATAAAAGTTTCTTTGTATAAAAGTTGTTGTTTCTAATTTCAGTGTAAACACATTTTAATACATGCAAAACGACGTTTGTAAATTCAAATGTGCTAGATCCCATAAGGCTTACCACTCTGCTAGAAATTAATTTATTTTATTCATATTTACTTCAATATATATACATACAACACAAACTAGGATTGAGACTGAGTTTTTTTGTTGTATTTTGTTGCAGACCAGAACTAACTATAACAACTCTACAACCATGGGCTAATTTCTATATTCCCCAAAGGGTAGATAATGCGATAGCCGAGGTAAAGTGGAATCAACTTCACATAGATGACAATGTTAAAAACCAATGTTAAGTACACATAAACCAAAAATTGCACTTATTGAAATATTATTTATTTTTATTTTATAGACATACCTCTATGTTATATGCATGAGCACATGTGGTACTCATATTGAATTACATATATTCAGTAAAACAGTTTAAATAACAAGAATTTCATCCAATGCAAACCATGTTTGTTTGTTTATTTAATTGACACTAATTGTACCATTGTATTAATTAAATTCTTAAATGCCAACAAGTTACATGTAATAAAAATTATATTGATTTTTTTTTCAGCTTTTAGAGTTGGTGCTTAAAAATTTTATCTATGTTTGGTATCAGTAAGTACAATTTTACATATATATTTACCATCCTAAATGTACTTAACTTCCCCAGTGTACACGGGAAAGCTAGACTGTTTGCTTCTGTGATTTTCTACATGCATTCATTAGCACAGTTATTTTATTGGTGATTGTGACTAATTATTATCTTTCAGTGACTTGAGTTCAGATGAACAGTTTGTGACAACTCTTCGTCAGTCTTTAAGATATGCTGTTGCAGTTATTCTTAAAAGAGCTAAGAAGGTAAGATTTCTGCCTTCATCATGTTTGTAGTGTGCATTTTAGTTAACAGTTGTAGTTTTTTGTGCTCACAGTAATTACTATTAAAATATGTTATTGTTGTCACATGACATCATTCTTTCAAAAGCTTACTATCACATGACATGAAAAAATGACAGTATTTTCTGTATATGTTTATTACAAATGGAACCCTTTCTTGTATTATGTGAGTTCTTCTCTAGTATTGGAGGTCTGGAAAGCAGACTATGGGGTCCTTGTCTGACTGTATTGATGAACAGTGATGAGTCCATGAACATGTTTTCATGTTCCTCATACCTCTAATACTCATGTATTCTTTTGTTTACTCACAGCTGGATATACCACATTTAATTATTCATAAACTCATCAAAGCTGCTCTTTCACATTTTGATTCTTACATGAAGGGCAGAAAAGAAGGTAAAAATTAGTCTTCATGTTGATGGGACCGGTATAAATCAATCAAATCTCACAGCCTTATACAAGAAACTATTGCTAAGATGATGATTGTTTTCCTGAATTTGATTGCATTCATCACTGTTTTATCTGGGTATGAATTTGTAACTGCAAACTAAAATATTATATTTCTTGCTTACCTTGTCTATTTTCAAATCTCCTATTTTACATCTAGCTTTAACAACATAAATGATGTATTTATATATGTTTGATTATTATTATTTTTTGATAAGTTAAAAATGGGTGATCCGCCTACATTTCTACATGTCTACCGGTAATGGACATGGTATCACTGTTTGTAAATTAGTTGACATGATTTTCAGTTTTCTAATTTTCAAGCTTCTCTTTGAAGGCTGATACTAAAGTGAGACGTTTTCATTTCTTGTTGTCATTCCAATACATCATGAAAGCTGGAAGTTTTTAGTTTACAGGTATGTTGTGAATAACTGAATCATTATCGTTTTTTACTTATTTCAGGTGGAGAAGATATTCAACAAGTTACTTTAGATTTAATGGGACAGCATCTGCACTGTGCAATGCACAGTAGAAAATCAGAGTTACAGTATCTCAGAAAGATGACAGAAGCGTTACTTCCACATATATTTCCACGCAATGCCCTGGAGTGCAAGTGAGTATGCATTATTTTGTCATAGCAATGTAAACAGTATGCAGAAATATTTCAAATTTTTTTTTAAAAATAAATTAAAAATTAATATTTCGTACATGTATTAATATTCCACTACAAAATATAGAATGTGGACATTATCATGTTATGAAAAGTAAAATTTTGAATGAGATGAGATGCATGCTTATCTGAAACAAGTCATTGATATAATGCTTCATTTTACACGACTGTGTATCAGTGGGTGACAGTCATTGATTCTCTGTGGTGTCTCTCTTGTCAGTGTTAACCTTTTAAGCATCTCAGTCAACTTTTCTCACCTTTCAAAAAATTTATCAAGATTGGTTGCCATGAGAAATCTTAATTTCCTAAATCAGTGAAAATCATGAAGAGTGTCTTTATAAAATTCCAAACATTTCTATGAGTGTAAATTAAAATGTTTACAGTATAGTATCATGTCCATCTGATCCACAATTATCAAAGAAGTTGAATGTTGATAATGTTTACAGGTGTGAATGTAACCATACTATTTGTATAATAACATAATTGTTTGTGTTTTAAATCAACAGGGGTGTCTGTGCCTTGGTACGTGAGATATTGTCAGGCTCTTTATTACTTCAAGGAATGGATGTAATTGCAGATCCTGTAAGCAATAACACTTTCTATCAATGCTTGTGTTGTCATGGCATGTTTTTGTTGTTGGTCAATTAAGTGGTTGACATAGTAACTTCACATAGTCGCCTTTTATTTTTTCAAGTCCCTGTTTCAAACTGTGTATCATCATTATGCATATTGGCTTACAGGTCCATGTCAAATTTTTGTCAAGATTCAAACGAAAAATGGCCGACTGGTGGCCATTCATTCTTTTTTATTCATGTCCATGACAATTCTTCACTTCAGAAAAATACATGTAATACTATAATAATACTGTGTTATTTTGTGTGATTTGATCATATTTGTCAAATTGACAGTCATTTTGTCTAAAATCACAGTTGTGGATATGTGTGGAATCATTTCTAGCAGTTGAACAGGGCTTTGTATCGGGATCATACTGGGTTACAGATGCACGTCATTTTAACAACTGTTTTTCTGAAATGGCTGCATGATTATTTAATTCAAAATCAATAACTCTACGTACTGGATTTTGATTGTACATTACATTTTTAGCAATTCAAGCAAATATATTCAGCCCATTACATCACATCTCATCACAGCAGGGTTATAGCCAGGAAATGATATGTCTTCATCTAAATCTGTATTGAAATGCAAAATAACAGTTGCTAGTCTGTATCAACAGACTTGTAATTTTTTTTTATTATTTATGGCCATTTGTAAAAACTGAAAATATTCAATAAAAGTTTCTAGAAATTTTACATGCCAAATTAAATTTTTTACCTGTCTATTAAAATGACATGCAGGCAGATGGCTAGCTACAAGCATGCATCTCAGCCCTAGCCAAATGTACACCCACAATTCTGGTGGACTGCTAGTGATAACATTTGAGTGTGCAAATTAATAGAGACCACATATTAATAGAGTTTGTTGGTGAACATACATGTAGTCTTGTGGTGACTGTTCACTATGGGTTTGTAAGTGAGTTGAGGCCTGGCCTAACTGTATTTCAAAAGACTGAAACATTGCCTTCCTGTTGGTCAATTCCATTGTACTTATTATGGTCACCATAACAACACTGGCGTTAGCTTACAAGATCCTTTTGATTACCAGGCGCAATGTAGTTTGATCTATTGAATTAACACTACATTTGTTTTTACAGGACATGGTCAATAAATTACTTCTCATATTCTTTGATGAAGAACCAGTAAGTTTATTTTATTCAGATCACTTCACTTTCATATGCAGTATTTGCTGTATTAGAAGCAATGTTCAAGTTCGGATACATAAAAAAATAAAGTACATCAACTAACCTTTTTTTTTGGCTCTATTATATGTGCTTATGTAAATTACTGTGATTTTTCTATGATCAAAATAAGTAATAGTTTCATGATTCTGTATAAAATAATAACTTAAAGGAATTTTTGGGTTAATATGTACTTTTTTTGGAACTAATACAGTACTAGAAGCTGCTAGGTGATTACATTCTTTTCATGCTGGTTATCAAGTTGGTGGAATGTCTCATTGAAAGTTGTATTAAAACATATTATTTTATTAATTTCAGATGACAGCATGTACTGATGCACCGTCACCCAAAGTGTGTATATTAGAAGCATTCTATGAGACCAATCATAAACCAAGAAATTCAGTAAGTGTTTAATACGCCCATAGCTCACCATTCCTGGTGTGTGTTTCTGGACCGTTTGGCCAGTATTGTTGAAAGTGTTTAATACGCCCATAGCTCACCATTCCTGGTGTGTGTTTCTGGACCGTTTGGCCAGTATTGTTGAAAGTGTTTAATACGCCCATAGCTCACCATTCCTGGTGTGTGTTTCTGGACCGTTTGGCCAGCATTGTTGAAAGTGTTTAACACATCCATAGCTCACCATTCGTGGTGTGTGTTTCTGGACCGTTTGGCCAGTATTGTTGAAAGTGTTTAACACATCCATAGCTCACCATTCGTGGTGTGTGTTTCTGGACCGTTTGGTCAGTATTGTTGAAAGTGTTTAACACACCCATAGCTCACCATTCCTGGTGCGTGTTTCTGAACCGTTTGACCAGCATTGTTGAAAGTGTTTAACACACCCATAGCTCACTATTCCTGGTGCGTGTTTCTGTCCCGTTTGGCCAGCATTGTTGAAAGTGTTTAACACATCCATAGCTCACTATTCCTGGTGTGTGTTTCTGTCCCGTTTGGCCAGTATTGTTGAAAGTGTTTTCTCTTTTGTAGGCACTGAGTTTAGAATTGACTGATATGCTGAAGGATAAGATGATTTTGTATCACTTCATGGAATTTATGAAAAATGAAGGATCTCTTAATGTTTTACAATTCTGTCTCTCAGTAGGTATGTGCCATTTGTTTCTGTAAGGAATATAATAATGATAGATTTTGGGTTACTGTAGAATACTTAATTTTAGCTGAAATTAGTTTTTGCTGAAAAGACTTTTTGGGGTGTTTTGTATGGAATTTATTTTTACTGATTTTTGACAAGTTGAATGTAAAATATAGGAAAAAAGGTATATTCGCTGGATTTAATTTTCACTGAATTATTCCTCCAGCCAAAATAGCGAAAATTAATTCCAAGCAAAAATTAAGTGTTTTACAGTAATTAAGTATGCAGGGGTGCTATAAATAGATGAAGTGCAAAATGACAACACCTGGTTCTATGGTTTTCAATATTTGCTTTTCAGAGGATTTTAATCGAAGGAGTTTAGTGCCAGAACTGTCTATTGATCAGATGGTATGTCTGCACCAAGAAGCTCAAGATCTTTACAGATTGTACTTTGCACCTCATGCAATAGATAGAATACAGTTTGAAGATGACATTATAGGTGAAGTTAAATCAAGTAAGTAGTTTATCCACAATTGCAACTTGTAAAAATGATGTGCACTTTCCTCATCAGTAGATCTTCTCTATCTTCTCATACTTTTTATTATTAGTCCCCGTTTGAATGGGGACTTATGTTTTGACCTATGTGTATCCGTGCGTCTGTGCGTGCGTCCGGACCTGTATCTAAGAAATGCCTAAACCAATCACAATCAAACTTCACACATACATCTTACATTACATTATACATATGCACATCAATTTGTTTCATGATCTGATTCAAGATGGCCGAATAGCAGCCATTTTGTACTGAAAAATCATCAAAATTAAGCATTTCTGGCATTTATGGATGTATTTCGTTCAAACTTATAACATACATTAGACATTACGAGTTCCTAATGCACGTCATTTTATTTTTCAGATTGGATTCAAAATTGTTTGTTTTAATGAATGTGGTTCTAGAGCCATATCTCTGACATGCTTTGACTGATTATGTTCAAGTTTTATATATTCATTATACATCATTTTATAGATATATACATGTATTCAAAATGGCTGAATTTGTTTTAATTAATGCTGTTCCAGAGCAATATTACTCAATGTGAACAAGTACTTGTTTGACGATCAGATACAAATGTCAATCATTTTAATGTTAAACAATCATCATAGTCCTATTACTGACATGGTTATATTCCAGCTATATTACTATAAACAAAACTATATATCTTAAATTTGATAACTAACAGGGACTGTGCCATGCATGGCTTGTTTTATTATAGTTGCTGAGGGTCCATATAAGGAGGTTACACGACTCCGTACTTCAGATGCATTATTCAGGTTGGTTGGTTTCTTGCAAACATACATTTAGAATAAATATCTGAGGTATCTTGCGGTTTAGGACTGTTTCTATTTAGATAACACTTGTAAAAGTTTGCTGGATTTTGTTTACCAGTGATGTTGGTAATTGTTTTGGAGACTGATATTCATGTATATTATCTCAGAGGCATGTTTACAAATATTACAACCTGAATGGCGTTTACGCTCACATTCTCCCATTGAGCAAATGATCTCCTATGCTTGGAGACACATGCCCATATTTGGCCACTAAGTAGAGGTTATTCATATCTAATCTCAAAGATAATGTGCGATATCACCAAAAACAATAATTTTTTTTATCATGTAGAGCAATACCACGCATGATCCTTGGTACTAGTGATGAATTACTTTTTTATCATATACTGTAGAATACTTTATTTTCGCTTGGAATTTATTTTCACTATTTTCGCTGAAGGGATGATTCCGTGAAAATAAAATCCATTGAATATACTTTTTTTCCTTTATTTCACATTAAACTCATGAAAAATCAGTGAAAATAAATTCCAAGTAAAACGCCCAAAAAGCCTTTTCAGCGAAAATTAATTCCAGTGAAAATAAAGTATTCCACAGTATGCAACTGCATGATTAAAGAAATCACAAAACTGACCATGAAAAAAAGGACGAGTAAGAAAATTTGCTGCCAAGATCTGTGACAGTGGCAGAGCTAGCACAGTGCATGTACTTCAGAATACATGCTCATTATTATTGTTGAATAAGTAAATATTTGATGTGGTGTTTACTGGCAAACGTTTACTGACTGTTGTTTTGGAATTTTCTAAACAAGATGTTATTTGGCTTACCCCACCTTTTAACATTGATTCTTTGCCGAATACAAATAAAATATTGCAAATCGGAACATTACTTATCAATAATGATTATGTGAGTTACCGGTACTACAAAGTGACCAATACTGGCAAGGTTGCTATCTCTGATATTGGGGTTGCACTCTGTGTCAACAACAAGGTCAAAAGATATCACATTGTGTAGATCAAATAATGTAATTGTTGCAGATTAAAAAAAATATTACATAGTGGATATCTCAGTTACTCATATGATACTACCGGTATACTAGTATATAATAATTCATATAGTATACTAGTAGTATGTAAATACATGACTTCTTACATGTGTTATAGGATAGTTAACTATTCTTTGTTACTTTGCAGGGCTTATGAACATGCATATAATTTACTGGAAAACACTTTTTGTCCTCTATTTCACCAAAGTGATGCAGTAAGTCCATAGTTCATTGATGTTTTAATGCATGTTTTCATGTATTTTAATGTGTAGCATTTTTTTGGGCATTTATAATTGATTTTTTTATTGCAGTTCAAAGTATACAAGATACAATCTTACAGTGCTTTGAATAAATAACATTACATGTGTCTGAGAAACATTCAGCAAATATACATTGGTAATTGCCAAAGAAGGCAACTTTTACTCTTCTTTTTGTTACTTGTTCATCGTTTTTTTTTTTTTTTTCATTTTTTTTTTTGTAGTATTATACAATGCTGTGTGGGAGAAGACTGTCATATGACTGCAGACCTCTCAGGTGTGTACATAAAGTGGTTTCAAAATCAGTTTCTTGAAATTAAACCTCTGAATCAAGTTATAGTCTTCTGATAATGAAGGCGTGTAGTTACAAATATATTTGTGTTTGTGGATTGTCTGTTGTTGTGATGCACAATGTAGTTATGATTCATTGTGCAAAGACAACTGTGGAGTATGTGTGTATGTATGTTATATGGTTTGTGCAAATATGTATACTCAATATTATGTTGCTTTCACACACTGTCAGCTGTCGAAAAAAAAAATTTTAGTTACAAGCTTAAACAAAATTACTCCTGGGTTGATTGTTGTAACCTGATACAATACATATTTAGTCCACTGTTTCCATGGCAACTGTTGTTCATTTCTACTTTATATGTTGATATCTAACTGATAGTTTTGTGTGAACGATTCTTGCATGTAATATGAGCTCCGTAATTTATATTGTACTTTTAGTTTAGTTTCTTGATTTCATCATTGGCATGTAATTATGTTAACACATTCATGCTAACACTAGATGTATATATTAACATAGTGATAACTGTATTTTCTACTGCCTCAGACAATCGTTTGTTAATTAATTCTGATTCATGCCTAAATTGTTGTTCTATAGTAGTAGAAGATAATATGTCAGTCGCATGTTGCGGATTTGTTTTTTTACTATTAAATGAATGTTTTAGTTATTTACTAGGTGGTGGGATTTTACTAATAATTTGTATTAATTGATATGTAATGCGGTTGGGAACAAGGTTTAACTTACTAATAATGGTAATGCTTTATCTCTTGACTGTCGTTGCCATGGCAACTATTTTATAAAGTCCTGTCAGTGACCTCTCACCTACGACACCGTCGCCTCCGCCATCGCCGCCCCCACCACCGCCTTCTGCAGCTCAGTTGCAGCAACGGTTAGTAACGCATCTATGTATTGAATGTTCAACGCATGGTGTGTGATTTGTTCACGTGTAATGTCAGATGTATTATGTGTCCTGTGGTCAGGTGATTTATGTACTGTGGTCATGTGATTTATGTACTGTGGGCAGGTGATTTATGTATTGTGGTCAGGTGATATTTGTGCTGTGGTCATGTGATTTATGTACTGTGGGCAGGTGATTTATGTACTGTGGTCAGGTGATATTTGTGCTGTGGTCATGTGATCCTTTAGTTTTGTAATGTGATTTGTGTACTGTAGTCATGGTGTTTGATAGTTATTTCACTTGTTTGATGCACTATGATCATCTATCACCATGGCAATGTTGCAGCTACAACTTGGTAAAAAATGTATCCATCATAGATCATCAATAATTTTCATATGCTCCAAACCTAAGACCAGGACTATATATAAATTACAACATGAGTTTAATTAATACAATATTACACATTCACGATATCCTATTTATCACATGTATGCATTTTAACTGTTTTGTTAGCAGAAACCTTGCAAAATATTCAAATTGTTATTTGCGTTTGCACGTCCTAAGTGTCTTAGTGCTATTGTTCTATTCATTTCATAGAGGAATGCTGTTCTATAAAAGAGCGCTGCATCCAGTTTATCGACTGCGATTAAATAAATTTTTAGACTAAAAATAAATACCAATGTATTTATTGTTATAGAGACACATTTGAATTAAATTGTGGGCTAGTTCTACTAGCAGTCTTCATGCATCTTAAAAGTAAATCGACAAGACGTAGTGGTGGTTCAGAGCAGAATATGAATTCATTGCATTGCAACTGTGAGGTTGGGAACATTAAAAACAGCAAAATTCTCAAACCTGATTTAAAATGAAAACACATATTGTATGTAGCAGGATATGCAGATTGATTATTTTTACGAACAGTTCTCATCAAAATAAATAGTTTTTGTATGTTTTGGAATTTTAAGAGATGATTAGATAATGACAATTGCAAATTGCTTGTAAGGACCAATCGCATTTGTTGTTCATTGAGTGTAATATTGAAAACTATTACATGGCTTTATATCACTGCTAATGTATAATACATGTGATAAAATAAAAAATTATCTATACATGTACATGTTGTTTTCAAATCAACATTCAACATATATTTTTGATGTATAGATTGATATTTCGTACATGTAGCTAGCAAATCAGTGCCATGTTTCAATATGCACATTCCCATCAATGAAATCCTATTGCATGTTTGCTAGCAAATCAGTGTTATGAATCAACATGTACATTACCATCAATGAAATCTTATTGCATGTTTGCTAGCAAATCAGTGTTATGAATCAACATGTACATTACCATCAATGAAATCTTATTGCATCTTAACTAGCAAATCAGTGCAATGATTCAACATGCACATTACCATCAATGAAATCCTACTGCATGTTTGCTAGCGAATCAATGCCATGATTCAACATGTACATTACCATCAATGAAATCCTACTGCATGTTTGCTAGCGAATCAGTGCCATGATTCAACATGTACATTACCATCAATGAAATCCTACTGCATGTTTGCTAGCAAATCAGTGCCATGATTCAACATGTACATTACCATCAATGAAATCCTACTGCATGTTTGCTAGCGAATCAGTGCCATGATTCAACATGTACATTACCATCAATGAAATCCTACTGCATGTTTGCTAGCAAATCAGTGTTATGAATCAACATGTACATTACCATCAATGGAATTCTATTGCATGTTTGCTAGCAAATCAGTGTTATGAATCAACATGTACATTACCATCAATGAAATTCTATTGCATGTACGTTTGCTAGCAAATCAGTGTTATGAATCAACATGTACATTACCATCAATGGAATTCTATTGCATGTTTGCTAGCAAATCAGTGTTATGAATCAACATGTACATTACCATCAATGAAATTCTATTGCATGTTTGCTAGCAAATCATGTTATGAATCAACATGTATATTACCATCAATGAAATCTTACTGCATGTTTGCTAGCAAATCAGTGCCATGATTCACATACACATTACCATCAATGAAATCTTACTGCATGTTTGCTAACAAATCAGTGCCATGATTCAACATACACATTACTATCAATGAAATCTTACTGCATGTTTGCTAGCAAATCAGTGCCATGATTCAACATACACATTACCATCAATGAAATCTTACTGCATGTTTGCTAGCAAATCAGTGCAATGATTCAACATGCACATTACCATCAATGAAATCTTACTGCATGTTTGCTAACAAATCAGTGCCATGATTCAACATACACATTACTATCAATGAAATCTTACTGCATGTTTGCTAGCAAATCAGTGCCATGATTCAACATACACATTACCATCAATGAAATCTTACTGCATGTTTGCTAGCAAATCAGTGCAATGATTCAACATGCACATTACCATCAATGAAATCTTACTGCATGTTTGCTAACAAATCAGTGCCATGATTCAACATACACATTACCATCAATGAAATCTTACTGCATGTTTGCTAACAAATCAGTGCCATGATTCAACATACACATTACCATCAATGAAATCTTACTGCATGTTTGCTAGCAAATCAGTGCAATGATTCAACATGCACATTACCATCAATGAAATCTTACTGCATGTTTGCTAACAAATCAGTGCCATGATTCAACATACACATTACCATCAATGAAATCCTATTGCATGTTTCTATTTCCATATATGGTATCTAATGTCCTGAAAAAAAAGTTTTTGGTCAATTACTATTAAATTACTATTAAAATTTGCATTTTTTTGAAAATTTCTATAATTCTGACAAAAAAGCTATGACTTTGTGCAGTGATCAGATACATTGACTTTTGATCCATTGTTAAACTACTTTGAAAAGCAAAACTTTTCAGAAATAGGAATACAATGTATAATTTGATGTCTAATTACGGAAATATCCCAATCAAAACCCTGATTAGTAGTGATGATATTCAAGTCTGGCTTCTAGCATTTATTTGAGAACACATTCTAGTGATGCGTTTTCTCCAGGCAAATCCTAAACTTAAATTTGACTTAGATAATTGAGCTATATATTTATTGTGACCACTGTAAATTACCCATTAGCATAACTAGAATGTGTATTCACTCACATGTCTGGGAAGAGTGAAAACCATTGTACATTTCATTCTGAGAAAACTCATGAAAGCTAACCTTTTTGATTTCATTTTGGTTATTATGAATGAAGCATGAGTTTACAATTACAGTATATTGTGTTTGTTTAAAGGAGACGATCTAATGAACCATTGTCTGCTGTATCTAAACTAGGCAGTAGAATTAAAGGAGTATTCAAGAGTCAAACAGGTAAAGAACAGTTATTGTTTGGAAAAAAGAAAAAAGAAAGTTGTAATATTTTGGCCAATAATTTATTAAAATAAAGTTTTCTCAGCGCTGCAGCTTCAAGCATACCTTGTGAAATCTGATTGCAGTTTGGTGCAAAATACAAAAATGTATTTCTCAACACATCAGCTTCAAGTGTATCTTGTAAAATCTGATCTTACAATGTAGTTTGGTGCAAAATACTAGTATTTCTCAACACATCAGCTTCAAGTGTATCTTGTAAAATCTGATCTTACAATGTAGTTTGGTGCAAAATACTAGTATTTCTCAACACATCAGCTTCAAGTGTATCTTGTAAAATCTGATCTTACAATGTAGTTTGGTGCAAAATACTAGTATTTCTCAACACATCAGCTTCAAGTGTATCTTGTAAAATCTGATCTTACAATGTAGTTTGGTGCAAAATACTAGTATTTCTCAACACATCAGCTTCAAGTGTATCTTGTAAAATCTGATCTTACAATGTAGTTTGGTGCAAAATACTAGTATTTCTCAACACATCAGCTTCAAGTGTATCTTGTAAAATCTGATCTTACAATGTAGTTTGGTGCAAAATACTAGTATTTCTCAACACATCAGCTTCAAGTGTATCTTGTAAAATCTGATCTTACAATGTAGTTTGGTGCAAAATACTAGTATTTCTCAACACATCAGCTTCAAGTGTATCTTGTAAAATCTGATCTTACAATGTAGTTTGGTGCAAAATACTAGTATTTCTCAACACATCAGCTTCAAGTGTATCTTGTAAAATCTGATCTTAGTTTGGTGCAAAATACTAGTATTTCTCAACACATCAGCTTCAAGTGTATCTTGTAAAATCTGATCTTGAAAAGATTGATACAAAATCAATTGTAGAGGATGTTCAGCTTACATACTATCGGTACATTCTTGGTATCTCAAAAAATACACCAATCATGGCAATATATAGTGAATTGGGAAAATTACCTCTTGACTCTTTTATTAAGAAACAAATGATAAAATATGCCAATCGTATTGCAAATTCCACAAATACTCTACTTCAAGAAGCATACTATGTCAATAAAATTATTAAAAGTAAATGGTTTAAAAAACTTGATCTGATATTAAATAATATTAACCATTCTTATCTTTTAAATGAAACAAATATTATCTCATTATCAAAATTAAAAACAATTGATGAGAAATTAAAAGAAGAGTTTACAACTGAGTGGAAAAATGAAATAAATAATGACAATAGGAAAAATCAATTCTAAAAATAAACTAAGAACCTACAAACTTTTTAAACCAAAATAG